GGGGGGAAGGGGGGAGTGTTAAAATTCAATTGATATAAATGTGTTGAGTATATACTTACACTACCAGACTTCCCCGTCCCTTGCTCTAATTCTTTGATCTTATTTTCCGCATGCTGAAGTTTTGCTTCTGCTTCTTGCCTACTAGCTATAGCCTCCTCCAATTTCTGAGTCACTTCCACCAATCGTCTTTCTTCCTCTGCCCGTGATTTTTCGACTAGGGTATCGATCAATGGTTGTACGTCAATCTGGAAGCGCTTTGTCGCGCTGAAATCCGGATCACAGCCTGAACGATGCAACACAATTTGCGATATACACTCCTCAATTAATTTATAATATGCTGGTCTAAAAAATGAATAAATAAAGTATACATAAATAAAGATTTTATTGGAGAGAAATAATTTTGCGTGCCAATTACTTATATAAAATTGCGATAATAAAAATAAATATAATTATACATGTATATACACATGTATGTACTTACCGAACTAAAGCATCATCTCGAATAAATAAAAGATGTTGAAGTATAGATAGGAAATATGGTTCGGCAGAAGTCTCCATCACCATATTTTTAACTACTTCAAAGCAATCATTAACGTCATCTAATTCTAAACGTACATTGTCAAATCTCTGTACAAATTCCTCATAATCTTCCTCTTTATGATCATTGAAGATTTTCAAATGTGTCGCCAAGTCTTCCGATTCATCTTTTTCTAGCATTTCAAGAATATCAGCCAGACCTACTCGCATTATCTCGTTCCTCAGATGTAAGCGAAAATCTAAATCCTCTGCGGATGATATTATTGAGTTTATGAGTTGAAGGCACACTACCTGCATCATAGAATAAAACGTTTTGTTTTTTTAATTTCAAAAAAGTAAGATATTATTTATACAATAATCAAAATCGCATGAGTAGCAAAAAATAAATAATAAAATGTGCAAAACGTACCCTTAAATTTTCATTCTTCTTGTTCATCAAACCCTGTACGATTGGTAGAAATCTTTCGCGGCCTTTAAATTCGCCATTCATAGTAATCGCATCTAAAACTTTCTTGTGACTGTCACTGGATATCAGACATACTGCACCAAGTAATTTTACGGCCTCGGACATTACGGACGGTTTTGTCGGCTCCAATGATCTGGCCACGATGGTAAGAGCCTCGTGATGGGCCAGCATCTCCTTTATACCCACGGTATTATTCATGATGGCCTTTAAACAGCGGATACATTCGTACTGTATTCGCTCGTAGCGGTTGTCACTAAACAAAAACAATTTTTTTATTAATAAAGGATAACATGAATCTGATGATAAATTCTGTTATAAGCAACATGATCCTCGTAATAAATTCTGCCATAAGCATCATGCAAAACTGAAATAAAAATTAAGTATAAATTAGGAACATCTTGCTGATTGAACAACGCAGATAATAATTATCAAATTAAATTCTTTAAATATACAAAATATATTATATTATAAAATCAAATTATATACGGTATTACTAGCAAAGTTTTGCTCGTATGTAATACAAGCGGTTAAGAAATATTAACATAATAAATATTATCGCAAAATGACATTCAAGCGAATAGTACTTTTACGAGAATTACCTATCATAATATATGAAGGCACTGGAATAGAACAATACCAATGTTAGAATAAAATGTGTACCAATCTAAACGCTATAAGACATTCTCCCGTTCAAGCATGTGGAATTCACTTACTTTCGATAACACTCATTAAGGGTAGCCAGGACCTGCTTCAAACCCTTAGTTCCAAACTCCTGTACCCAGCTGAGCGGATTATTAGTGAGTGCAATCCTAAGAGACTCGACGCAGCTATAAATCTTGTTAACGCTCAAATCGGGCTGTGCCAGATACTGTATATAATCCGCTGGTTTATCAAATTTCGATCGGTTCTCTTGTATACTACCCTTGTAATGTAACACTAGCATTTCCTTCTTTTCGACTCTGATTGTTGACGCAACGGTTCCTTCTTCTCCTCTGTTAGATTCATATTGGCCTAAACGGAAGAACGAGTTCTCTTTGGTATCTTTAAGATTTAAGATATTAATCGATTACATTTAGGATGTCCGAAATTATTAAATAATTGCCGATCCTAATTGCTTACGCATCCCATCGAAATACGAAACATGTACACAGAAAAAAAAATTAATCTTAAATTAAGACAAATATTCGCATATATATATTCGCATATATAAGCAAAAATAGTATAATATAATATAAGAATAGTATAATCTTCTTAAAAATTTTAATCTTAATTTGTATGCAAATATTACTTTTGCTCAACTCAAGAGTAAAAATCTTTTATGTAAAGATTATAATATTCTTTTTGTTTATATATGAAAATATCTATACTTGTATCAATACAAATTCGATTAAATCAAGACTAAAATTTTTTTACGATTTTCTTGCCTGAGAATATATAATCTAAATTTAAGATTACTTTTTTTCTGTATACAATAAAAACAATAAAAAAAATAAAAATTAATGCATATTTTGTTGATGTTTGTTGCCGGAAAAAAATATGTCTACGGTCCATTTCTACTACTCTATTAATTTTAATCTTTGTTAATAATTTATTTTTTATTTTTTTCTCATACTTAGAACTAAAAAAATAAGAAATAAGTTAAAGTTAAATTAAAGTTAATCTATATTATAATAGGCGTGCGAACTTAATTATCGAAAATATATGCAAAATATATATGCAAAATATGTATGTCACATACATACCAGCATTTCCTCGAATCTATCATTCACTGTCTCCTCGTCCATCCTTTCAATGATGCAACGCTGTTGCTCGATCTCATTGATATCATCGCCCGAATGCGGCCTGGGCATGGTGCTGCTGCCCGAATGACCGCGCGGGCCACCCCCGCGTCCGGATTTCTTCGGCCGGCCGAACCACGTGTCCAACTACAACAATAATATCTTTTAACATCTTCAGTTTATCAATTTATTAAAAATTAATTCATCAATATCAAGAGATCAGCTTGAATTTTTAAACCACGGCAAAGTTATCTTGAAAAACAGTATCGCCTTACTATCATTATGCTAATTTTCTAGAGCATCGCATGCAATATTCGAATTTCTTCACACAATAAACATTCTCTATCTCTAAATAATAAGATGGAAACCTGATATAAAACAAGGTTTATGGAACATAGAAACTTCGGAGCGCTCATTGAAGCTCTGACAGTTTTCATCTGTGGGAATATACATCTTATGCGGAATAAACTAAGAAGGTTCGGAGAATCTTTGGGTTTCAAGATCAATGAAAGCAACGAACCGCGAAGGTGATGTTGATCAAGGAGACCAACGAGTCGGTCAGCATGAGTCGAGAACAAATTCGATCGGACCGCGCGATCGTTCCGATAAACTGCATTCCGACGCCCGAGTTCCACTGTAAATGTTTTCCTTTGCGGTAACGGATCGAGTTTTACGATGATATAACCGTCCGAGCGGCAACTCATGCTCGCTCATAGCTTTAATGATGTGCTAGGAAGCACGTAGAATTTTTCCGAGATGACGCGAAATCGTGCGCCGGAGCTGGAAGCAATTACCCTGTCCGTTTACCGCGAGATAACTGGACACGCGTTTAAGCGATATGCAACGCATTTGACGTCCGACGACGTTGAGGAAGAGGCGACCGAGATGTTTGTGCCACGTCGTCTCCTCTCGGTGCCGGTTATCAGGCTTCGAAAACTAACCCGAAATCAAGATCCAATCGCGACCGGAGGACGCGAATGAATCGTAATCAGCAGGATAGGACGAAGTAGCACGCGCATGCGAAATTAATTGCTACACGAAAAAAAAAAAGAAAAAATTAGTTTTAAATCAAGATTGTTTCTTTTTTTACAAAAAATTGTTGCGCTATTCTTTTGTTGCATTGACTCTCTGTAGTCCTTTTTTACTTCGTGTTATTTTTTCATTTTTAAGAGTATATCTAGTATTTTGTTGTATATCTAGTATTTTGTTGATAAATTAAGATTATATTCTTTCTCTCTTTCTCACACACGCACACACAAGAATATTATAATCTTAGAAAATTTTTATTTTTAATAGCAAGGATAATACTTAATACAAATTTAATCAAATCAAGATTAAAATTTTTAAAAAGATCGTAACATTTTTGCTTATATAAGAATATTTGTCTTGATTTAAAACTAATTTTCTTCTGTGTATCATTATAGATTCCATGACCGTCCGAATGTTGGCAGCGGAATAACGGCGATCACGTATGTGTGTAGACCGTCATTAGACCTCATGTGCGTCTCTAAGCGCTAATTCCTCTCTTTGTCCATAAAATAAAAACTTTTATTATTAAAGCAATAATAAGTCGCACATCACCGTGGAATCTAGGCGTTTTACTCCCAGCATGGCGTTGCGAAAAATCCATAGATACTATACTTTTATTAGTGACGACTGCGAATCCTACGGTAGCAATATAAATTTACAATACTAATGATGACATCGATCTCACGAATGCAAAAGTCATAATTTATACAATGGAAAATAGCACATAATATCGAGGATGACATAGCGGCTTCATAAAACGGAATTAATTGCTAACTAATGGCTATTAAGCCATCACTATTATTTAACAATTTAAAAATGATGATGTCAGACTTATTAACATCTCAAGAAATTCCGCTTTATTAATTTTACTTATTTTTTTTTTTATCTTTTCCCGTAGTGCGGCCGTTAAACGCATCCAAGTCGTTTCGGATTCATTAATATAAACGAAACATAGATCGTTTTTAACTTTTAATTTAATACAAAAGCTATATGCGCGATTATGAGAACTGCTGACATTTTTCAATTTAATGATAGAGAGCTTACCCAGTCCGTGATCATTGCGGTGCGTTCGCGATGATGCTTCGAGGACGATTAATTCTTCGACGAGTGACTCACATCGGACACGCGCGGAAGATCGCGAGTCCAAGCTGATTCGAATGGAGTGACGGACGCACCTTTATTTTTAGGACGAACCCACGCAAGCACGCGACACTTGTTCACGCAAGTTTTTCGCAAGTTTTTTATTATCGGGACGACGTCTCGAGGACACCGAGGTGAAGAAAGAGATGATTTTTCCAATTCGCATCGAGCACCAGGGAGAGCACCTCGTCGTAGCCAGCTTCCGCGTATCCAGTAGCCAACAGCTCAGCGTTATTCCCTCACGACGGAAGCACCGGCTGACGTTTCCGTGCAGACGTCTACGATCGTGTAGTCATGCATTCGTATTCACGAAGCAGAATAATTCAGTCGCAGTGAACAGAACGATCGAACGTGCGTTTCAGGAGACGCGCGGGGAAGTGGATGTGTACACTCGTGTACGCACGCAACTGATACGCCATTTAGCAGGGAAAATTAACGTGAGCAGAACGACCGCTCGATAAATGATTGTCATGGCAGATGAGGCTTCATCTAACGTTAGACTAATGAGTTTCAGAAAAGACAAGTTCCGGAGGGTTCAAAGTACGTCTCCTCATTCTATCGAAAAAGATCACGGGACACGTTAATATATCAAAACATAATATTATCCAAAATATAAATAACCATTAATAATATGTAAATATATTATTCATATTTATGGATGTATTAAAAATAAATAAAAATCTCTGCGAAGAAATATATTGAGAATGTCACTTTTATCAACGACTACACGGAAAAAATAGTTTGATCGATTGTATTAAAATTCTATATTTTTATAAAAATGAATGAATCAGAAATTCTAATTAAAATTATCAAATTTCTATTTAGATTAATCAGAAGTCATTACTTCAAATTGAATTTTGATAAGTTCCACCAGAATTTTTGATTCATTCATTTTTAAACAGAATTTTGATACCGATCAAATTAATTTTTCCGTATGGAAAATTCGCGTTTGCGATAAACTTCAAGTACTGCAATATCTCGTGTTCACCAATAATTATAGTATCCAAAGGTTTCTCACGATAACGGTTTTTCTCATGTAACGCATCATTCACAATCGCGAATTGTTAGAGATTCGAATATTTAAAAAAAACGAAGGAAAAGAGGCGACTCGAACCGCACTTGGAGAGGAACGGCAACAAACTGACTGGCGATTAGTGCCGGTCCCATGACGCTTGAATATATCCATCCCTTCCCCATCACTCCGATCTTAAACCGTGAGTTAGCGCTATGCGTTAGCGCATGGACGAAATCACTTATTAAATTATTATCTGACGTGCAGTGCGATAATGACCCCGACTCACGAAAAGTGATAAAGCAAACTAACCACGCAGTATTTCCTCACTTAAAGACTACATGTAGAATATAGTCCACGCAATTTTACTTTCTTTATTGATTAACTTATCGATTAACACATTGAGTTACCGGGCAGTTATATAAAATATCGAATTTATTTTTCTCGAAACAAACCTCGTAAAACGTAGGCACTGTTACGCTGAACATTTTATTTATAAAAAAAAGATATCCATCGTTATCATTATTCCGTAATGATTTGAATAGCAGTGAATAGCAGTGCATGCAAATGAAATCTTATTTTTCATTTAATTTAAGACAATAGTTAAGTAATTATTTTATCATTTTCTCACAAGTATTGTATAAAATTATCTCAGATAAGCAACGCTTATAGTGAGACATTCACAATTAGATCTATAATTTTGCGACGCGACGAAACAATTCGCGTCGCGAAATTACAGCAATTGTAGAAAGTTTACTGGCTAATTCAGACGATAAATTTCTTTGATCTCAAAAGATTACCGTCACAACTCATGCCTTCACGTTCACGATGCATTTCACAGTGTATATTTCCGCACAAATAAAGTGCCCCAGGTTTTACAAATTGTTTTTCATCGATTCTCAGGCCAAGTTATAATCATCTTTCTCGACAAATATTTGATTTAAACTCTCTTCTTAATCAATATTTAACAATTATTACTTTTATAAAGGCTAGATCAAAGGTAAAGTTTATACTTAAAATTAAATAAGACACTTTCTATTTACGCTGAAGTGAAAGTAGCAAACTTTGTAATCAGTTATTATTCAATAATAACTTAGTATGCATTGAAAAAAAGATCAATATCAAATTATGCCAAGAAACTACGGATAAAAGGAAACGTCATGATCAAATGAAAATTCACGAAGCCGCGAAACGCCTTGATGCGCTCGATCGCGATCGTGCGCCCGATCGCGATAAATAAAAGATCCGACGAGAGGAGGAGAAAATAAAGGAAGGGATCCACGGGATTCGCAATTTGTCGTGTGGCGAATTTCGACGAGCTGCTATCGCGATTTCATAATAGCTGATCAATGGACTCCGATTATACCGCCTCGCGTTATTCCGCCTCTCTCGCACGAAGGTGCGCCCGCAGGCGCGCGCGCAAATGCTATACAGCCTCGGCCTTACAGTTAGGCCGTAACGTAAGATTAACATAACGGCACCGTCGTGAAATTAAAGAAACCAAAAGGAGAGGAGATACCGCACCGGGCGTCCCGGCGTGGTATACACTTACGGTACGCCCGTATCGCGGAACCGTGTCTTCTCCGCGTGTCCGACCGCTTATCGCTGAACGAGCTCGCGAGATTCGTAGGGAGGAGACGTGCGTGCCAGTTTCTCCTCTCGGAGCCTCTCTCCCGCGCGAATAGTATTTGGACCAATGACAACGGCCAACGACAGCGAGTAAACCTGTGCGTATAAACCTGCACGTGCCAAAGAGGATTAGGATCGGCACCGTGATATCCTCTTTATGTACCACCTTCTCGCGTAATCTCTGTCATTAATTACACGCTGCGCGTAAACGATATCACTGTATTAATGTCTAGCTTAAAGCTTTCGTTTTTACGGGTAATTTAAACTTCTAATTGTATCACTCTTACATCTTACCGTTTTGCGCGATTACAATGTTATTAATGTAATTCGCCAACACGTTAATATATCTTGAATCTCATAGTTTCTCTTCCGTGACAGACAAGTTCGTTGCATCGAACAATGACAATTCTATCGACGGAAGAGAGATCATCTCCCTGGACACAAGTTGCAAGAGACTTTCTCCTTTATTTTCTCGCACCTAACGTTATAATCTTAGATGGTAGGTTATTCTTGCGCAGCTGACGTCATGCTTCCAATAGATAGCAGATATCCCAGATCTTTAATGTGACTGTTTTCTTGTTTTGACAGCAAATTCCGCACTCAAAGAAAATGAACTTACGGACTATTTTGTCACAATATTTTTCGTCATTTTGGGCATGGTATTTTATTCCGACAATTTACTTCGAAAAGTCACCTTATTGTCACTCCAAAATTGTCGCAATACTAAGAGAAGTTAATATGAAATTCAAGATCATCTCTTAATCATATTATCTTCTTCTTTCCTCGTTGGAATTCCTCTTTCAGATTATTCAATAATATTTGCCCACACTTCCCGCCTCTTTTCACGCCGACCATGTGGTTGACCCCGACCGAAAGGATAGATCGCCGTCATGAATCATGCGGATCCTTGCGTATCGCAGAATGTGCCTAACCGATGTCACAGCTTCGAATAGACGAGGTTTCGACAAGTTTGATTTAAAAAAAAATCAACTCCCCCTCCCCCCCACATACACATCGTCACTAAGTAAATATTTCGAGAAACATATAACAACATATAACAAACAATAATAATTATAATAAGCAATTTACATTTTTAATGGCGATTTTAATTTAAAGAAATTTTATTTATTTATATCGGCTGCTTAATGCATATTAAATAGATTATTTTAACCACAATTTTAAACACGAACTTACGACTCCCGTTGGTGTCCCGTGTCAATCGCAATGAAATTATATACATTATCTCGAATACTTAAAATACTTATATAAAAAAATTGAAATTTTTGTGATTATTTCTTAATTATATTTCTATTAAAACACATTTCTACTTTATATTTAAATAATTTTTGCTTTTTAGATTCTAAACCGTCGCAAAATATTTTATATTTGTAATCGATTTTCGGATTCGATTATTGATTTAAGAATATAACTTTAAGCTGCTACGTTGGAAATCTGTTAATAGTAACGGCACGTAGTTCGCGATGTTAAACAATTGTTCCGAATTTGTAAATATAAATTTAATTAAAAAAAATGAAAAATGACAAGGTCCTGTCTGTCGTGCAATGCCATCTATCTATCCCATTTTTTTATATTTCTTTTAAATGCGATCTAGAATTATTTATAATTTTTTCATAATTTTTTGATTGTAGGTAAAAATAGGTATAATAGACCTTAAACGAGAATACACGTGAGAATAAAAGTCCTGAGGTGTCTAATTCTTTTTTACGTGCGCGTACGCGCGCACGTTATTACGTTTCCTCGATATCTCCTGTGACCTGTGGACCGCAATCATGCTCGGTGTAAACTTGACACGAATTCAACAAGCGATGTCCTCAGACGCCGTCCTTATCGCGCGTATATATACCCACACGCGTACTCCGTAGATGGGCATTGGTTCCTAAAAAAACCGCGCTGTCTTTTTCATCTTGCGAACCTTGGCATCTTGCAATCTTGGAACCTTAAAGATTGCTTGGGCAGAAGACTCGCGCATTTTCACACAACGAGCAGCGGATGCTCCACACAGTGAATGATCCAATCAACGAGATCGGTTACTCTCATAATTAGATATCCGGTTTCACGTTACACTGTATACATCATTATTACGTGCATATTTTACACGCGGCGCAAATATGTACGTACTGCAAAGTGTAACTACCGTGAAAAAAAATGCCGTCGTAAAATATATAAAGAATTGCATATCGCAGCAACATTTACACAACATTGGCGAAATCTTGGCAAAATACTAAGAAATTTAAAAAAGGCGAGGAGTTTTGCGTGAGTTCTGCAAATTTTTTGACATGCTCAAAATGCCTTCGCATTTCGGCATAGTATTACGTGTTACGTAACGTTCCCTATACGCGAGCGTAAATCAGCCACCTGTTCAATCGAGCGCCGCCATTAATAGCCACGTTTGCGTTGCGCGGGAAAAATTCTCCGGACGAGAGATCGCTTTGCGCGCATTTAATACGGTTAATGCGTTAACCGGTAGCATCAGTCTTTCTCGATTAACACAGGAAGAAAAAAAAATACACGCGGCCGCGGGTGATGTCACTTGGGCGAAGCGGTCGGACGATGACGCCAGCAATCCGAGCGGCCTTCTGCCGTACAGAAGAACCGAACGAGAGAGAGAGAGAGAGAAAGAGACCGAAACGGTGTCACGCGAAATTCCGACAGCATGCACGCGGAGGTCGAACGCGAGCTGATTCTTCTGCCTTTTTTCCCCCTTCGTCTTGTTCGACCTACGCGTCCGTTGCCGAGATGATCCTCGCGTCTGAAAGGTGCGCCTTTGTCTCCGTCAGAGACGCATACCGGTTTAGCACCTCCGCATCTGCTTTCCACGCATGCTTAACGCTAAATGCGTCTGTCAGATCTCGAAGTGCATCTGCTTCTGTACGATAACACGAGGAATTACGCGTGTTCACGAGGAGTACGCGCATGTAAAAAAGAATTAAACCCTTCAAAGTATTTACTCTCATGTGATATTCTTGTTTAAAGATATTTTACGTCTATTTTTATTTACAATGAAAAGATTATTCTAGATCGTATTTACATTATAAAAAATTTTGCGGTGGTTTAGAAACAGGATCAAAAATTATTTAAATATAAAGCAGAAATATATTTTAATAGAAAAGAAAAGAAATATATATATAAGTATTTTTAAGAAATAATGAAAAAAATCTCAAATTTTTATATAATTATTTTGAGTATTCAAGATCATTTATGTAAAGTTTCATTTCGATAAAGAGATTAGGTCTCTAAATAAAAATTAAATTTATTAAGAATACAAACAAAAGTGGCGGTACAAATAAATTTAAATTTTTATTTGCAGAATAATTTCTGCATCGTGAACTTAAAACAGTTATAAATAGTTATATAAAAAAATTGAGATTTGTGTAATTATTTCTTAATTACATTTCCATTAGAATATACTTTTGCTTATTTATTCAAATAATTTTGGATCCAATTCTAAATCATTAAACTTTTTAAATGCGATTAAATAATTTATAAGTTTCGTAATTTTTTCGTTGTAAATATAAAAATATAAAAATTATAAAAATAGATGTAATACATCCTTAAGCGAGATTTTCATATAGAAATTGTAATAAAAAAATGAATGAGTGAATAGAAATCAATGTGCACTAACAACCACTTCACTCTCTGTGAAATCTTCGATGCTAAGTGAAATTAGTGGTCGTTACAGAGAGATACATACACGACATATTTCGATTTAGAGAAAGTAATTAATTATATCGAGAATGTATGTTTAAGACTTTATTCGATCGTTATGACGAAAATTAGCATTAAGATGGAATTTACTTTGCGCACTGTTTAAGTTATCCGTACATGTTTGACTGTTGCATCAATCGTTGTCACTATTCACTGAACACCATAAATGCTGCGTAACTATCATGTACGGAAAGGTGCAGTTACCTGGTTTTTTTGCACGCAGAGACTTTCAACGTGAATTACTTGCGCAAAAAGGAATATTATTAAAGAAATATATAAAGGCTGTTTGAAGATAAAACGTAAGTGATAAAATTAATCATTTAATTAAGCATAAAGTCGAAAATTAACACGAGTCTCACATAGTCTTCATATCCACGTTCGACGTAAAGTGCAAGCTAATGTGACTCGAATTTGTGCAGCGTCTAAGATCGGATATCAAGGATATCATATGTACGGTATTATATGTATTGTGCGTATCACCAAGAATATACGCATGTCGTTCTTTACCGAAGACTACGCTAAACCACAAAACAGTGGTTCCCAACTGTCACTTCATTTTCATTACGAAGATTCACTTATTTCACACGAGTACAATTTTGCAAAAAGCATCATTTTAGAAATAACATCAATATTCTTAATAAATTTCATGCAATTTAACAAACTATAGACATATAATTGATTTCTACTAAACTAAACTAAACTTGCCCGAACAACGATACAAACGTAATTTTCTATAGCATGTGAAGCTCAGTTTTAGAGCTATAAATAAGATAAATTCTGCGATAACGGTTCTGATATCGTGAAGATTATCGAATTTTACATCGCATAGCAATATCTGCTTATCACCTTGGAGGGAACAATAACGGACTATCAGTATCTCGAGCGAGAAGAAGATGGATGTAAAAATAAAGGAACACGACACTTAAAAGTGCCAGCATGTTTTACGTAAATGGTAGTATTTTAAACGTTTGCACATTACGGCGATACAAATAGTGACAAATACGATAACACAACAGGAAACTCGGGGTATGCCCACGTATGGTGGATATCGCTACAAAATTCCTATACTGTAGGTTTTATCATGTTGCGTGTAAAAGTTTTTATGCGCGCATTGTTTCTTCTCTCTCTCTCTC